GAATATATTAGAATAAATGTTAACCGATCTTATAAATTAATTATATATATATATATATTTTTTTTTTTGCATAAATTAGAATAATAATTATCAACTTGAAAATAATTTATATTTAATATATATATATATATATATATATTCTAAAATATAATTTTATTTTATTTCTATAATATATATATAAATGAAAATAAGTTATATTTTGGAATATATATTTTATATTATAGTAATTAATATAAATTATATTTTAGAATATATATATATATTAGTTAGTTTTGCTTTCTTATCAAAATAAAAAAAAATCTATTTAGGATTAGATAGCGGTTATAGATTTAACCGCTATATAAAATGTATTTTAGATAGCGGTTGCCCATTTAACCGCTATCTAAAACATATTTAGATAGCGGTTAACGTGGAACCGCTATCATATATCAATGTCCAGTGCCATTCTGATCGATTAAAGTTTTAAATGATCGATTATATTCGAAATTTTTTTCAAATAATTAATTATAATCGATTAGTTTTTTAAATAATTGATTACAATTGATTAGTTTTTCAAACAATAGATTATAATTGATTAATTTCTCAAATATACATTAAATTAAAATAAAAAAATTAATTTTCAATTATATATTACAAAAATTATAATTATATAATTAAAAAAATATATCTATATAAATTTATAATGTTTTATATAAAATTTATAGTTTTAAATATAGTTTTAAAAAGAAGTATGTATTTATTACATTAATAATATATTTAGAATTATGGTTGAAAGTAGTAAAATATAATTTTTATTTGTATGCTTAAACTTTTTTAATTTTTTACTTTATTTGATATTGTAATATTTTTTTATAAGTGACCCATATATGAATAATTAATTAGAATAAATTAGAATACATGTTAACCGATCTTATAAATTAATTAATTATATATATATATATATATATATATATATTTTGCATAAATTAGAATAATAATTATCAACTTGAAAATAATTTATATTTAATATATATATATATATATATATATATATATATTCTAAAATATAATTTTATTTTATTTCTATAATATATATATAAATGAAAATAAGTTATATTTTGGAATATATATTTTATATTATAGTAATTACTATAAATTATATTTTAGAATATATATATATATATATATATATATATATATATATATATATAGTTAGTTTTGCTTTCTTATCAAAATAAAAAAAAAATCTATTTAGGATTAGATAGCGATTATAGATTTAACCGCTATCTAAAACGTATTTTAGATAACAGTTGTTCATTTAACCGCTATCATATAACGTGGATTAATTTTGCTCTCTGCATGCACGCACCAGTGAATCTTGCAGAATGAGGGTAAGTTGGACATTTCAATTTGTCCAGGGGGCTTTCATCTCATTTCTTCGTGCATCAGCGAAGAATCTCTTTCTCCTATCTCCCGCTTTTCCTCGCTTTCATTTCGTCGTATTTTGGTTCAATCAAACGTGTGTCATCTTCGTGTTTCTATCTTCGTGAACAGTATATCAGTCCAAACAAACAGAGTATAAGTGATGAGAAACCTTTCTTAAATTAGGTAAATTATATCATCTTTTGTATTTTTGTCAACTGACATGATTTCGTAGCAATCATCTTCCATCAACCACTTCACTATTCCCTTTACTCAATTACATACACATACTAGAAATTCTCATATTTTATAGAAATATTTATGTTAATTTTTTTCTAAAAATTTGAAAAAAAAATAAGTTTCTTGCAAATTTAAATAATCTTTTATGCAAAAATTAACAAAAAATAATTAATTTTTAGCACTCAGTCTCTTATATCTTGTTGCATATTTCACCATTTCACAGTCTTTTACTCCTTCAATCATCCAATTTCCTTAATCAAAACTATAAATTGATATAGATTATCTCTTAAGATACATTTTCGTATAAAAAAATTTCTCTATAAATACCATTAGGAAGAGAGTTTGAGAAATGGAGAAAAGAAAGGTTTGAGAACATAGTAGAAAAAAAAAAAAAAGCTTTAGAAATAGAGAAAGGAGATTCGAGGAAAGAGTTAGGAAAAAGGATGAGAAGAAAAGTAGAAAAAAAGTAAGAGAAAATAAGGAAATTGAGAAGAGAAAGCGAAAGAAATCTGGAAATAGAAAAAAGTTATGTAGAATAGAAGTACAGAAGAAATAATCTGCTCCCAATGTTTTCACATGAGAGTCTAGTTTTTTTTCAACAAAAATAAATATTGATATTGTGATTGCATGCTTGAAAATATTTCCATTGAGGTTTCTCTATCTTTTTTCATTTGTTGTACTGAAGTAGTATTTCCCCACTATTTTTCCTTTTTAGATTAAAAATATCTTTTAATTTGAGTATGTCATGTTTTTTTTTAATGACATAAATATTATTTTCCTTTTTAATAATAATATATATATATATATATATATATATAATTGATTTCATAAATTTAATAAAAAAATAATTGATTACGTGACAATACATAATAAACTGAAAATGATAAGGGATACTTCATTATTATTTTTTTAATAATAATAATAATATTTTTAATAAGTAAAATATAAATTCTTTTTTGTTTCATTTTTAATTAAAATATTTAAATTTAATTTTAAATAAATAATTTATTAGAGAATGAATTATTTGGATATGATATCTTTTAATTCTAAATTTTAAATATGTAAGTTTAAGACAATTATTATCTTATTTTTTTTGTCTTAACAAAATCAAATGTATTTATATTATAATAATAATATTTCCTTTTTAATTAGAATATTTAAAATTAAATTTTATAAATATTAAAATAGTAATTCATTGAAGAAATAATTATTCGATTCGGATGTGAAATCCTTTTAATTCTAAATTTTAAACTTGGGAGAACTTATCATATTATATTTTTATCTAAATTAAAATATATAAAATTAAACATAATAATAATTTTAAATAAATAAATTTAATTAAAGGATGTTTATTAAAACAATGTATAGGCTTAAAGTTTTTTCTCTACAAAATAAATTTTATACAATGATAACAATAAAAAACATGACCTTTAAGTTGATGACAGTTCAAAACACCTAAATTTAATTAAAATAAAATATAATTAAAAACTAAATTAAAAAATCAACCAACAAATATTTTCTAAAGAAAACTTAATAAATTTGATTCTCTGTTACTGAAGACACGTAAAAGCCGGAATTATTCTTGTCCAATCCAAAAAAAAAATTAATATTAATATTCCTTTTTTCTAATAATTATTTTCACTATAATAATTATGTAAAATAATTATATAATAAGTATATTAATAATATTTATTTAAATTAATTTTTAATTATATATGAAGAGATAAATATTTTCCAATATAAATAATATGTTTAATTAATTACAGATAACAAGATGAATGTTACAGGAATTAACATCTTTTTTACATGTAACTCGAAATCTGACCACACTTTTTTTTAATGATTTTTCTAAAAAAATAATAAATATTAACTACGATTCCATTACTTTTTTTACCATCTTAACTATAATTAATATATGATATAATTATGTTGATTAATATTAAAAATATATATATATATATATATATATAAAAGTTAATAAATAATTTTTAATTTTCAATTAAATATAAAAATTGTTAATAATAATTTGATTATAAATCACAATTGTTTATATATTTAAAAAAATTCATCATAAAAAAACTATTAAAAATAAAATAACGATATATATAATTGAAGAAAAACGATCGACTTACTTAAAAAATAAGTATAAAAATATTATTTTTCTTCTTATTATTTTCTTGTAGTTTAATAATTTAATAAAGTTGTTATAAATTATTATAAGAATTGAATGATAAAAATAAAAGAGAAAGTGATTTTCAATTCCACATTATAGAATTATTGAATTCCATATCACGCTAAAAAAGTTATTGTGGTTAATGAAATTAACTAACTCTCTTAAATCTTATGAATTAATTAAAGTTGTAATTATGTTTTGCTTAAGTGATGACGATAATTCGATATTTTTTTCTTGTCTTGTGTATTTTTTATACTCTCAAATTATATTATTTTTATTAAAAATTTTGATGAAAAATAGTGTAATGATGAATAGAATGAAGAAAAAAAAAATTAGAGACAATTGTACCTTAAAAAATAGCGTTGCCATACCATAAATATTAATGCAAGCAAATAATTTAAGTCCACAATTTTAACTTGTATGTATATATAGAGAGAGACATATAAGATATGCTATTAATGATCAACTCTATCTTCTTAAATGATTAGTTTGGATTCATGAACAAGTTGTTTACACGAATACCAAATTCATGTGGTAATTATCAAGTGACAAATTAGATTAAGAAATGTTTAATTTACATAAATTGGAGCACAATATCTAGCTTCTCATTTAATGTTGGCCTAATTATTAATAATTTCTTAAATCTAATTAAATATCTCTTAAATCACCAAATTAAAATAGAAGATTTTAAATTAAAATATTGTAGTTATTGTTTTGTCACTGTTTTATTTATCAGTTATTCCATTTTGCAATTTTTGTTGCCTTGATCTTCATATTTGTGAGAACTATGAAAATCAAGCACATGTCCCATTGGATATCATTTCAAATTTGAATTATATATTCAATATAAATTTAAAATTTTAATATCTAATTGCACATATTGAGCAATTAAAAAGGTGCTTATTTTTCATAAATAAAAGAACTACTCTAATTTTTTTTAACGGTATTCTCCGACTAGTCCTGGTACTTTCCTCGGAAGAGGATTTGTAAAAGGATTAATAGAAAGCTTTTTATATAAATATTAATAATAGAAGCATGTAATATTATATTACTCTGGTATCTTCAGTCTTAAGATTTTGAATATTTTTAAAAACAAACTCAATTTTTATTTTTTGGTTTTCAATTTTCTAAAAAGAATTTATTTGTAAATTAGAAATAGATAAAATAGTTAATTTATTATATCCCATCATACTCCATTGTTGCGATGGTGGCAGCGCCATACATTCTTTTCACCTCTGACGGAGATTTCCTTTTCCCCTTCTGATAGTGGCCATGAAGCTCTGGAAGATAGAGAATTGTTGTCCAACACTTTCACCTTTGCGATTGGAAAAGAACAAATTTTGGCACGCCGAAAATCTATTGGCTTTTCATTTGAAGACTTGAAGGTCAACATCTAAATTTTAAAACATGTAAAAAAGAATAAAATCGGTTCGGTTATAAGAATTGGGTTTATGATTTGTTTGTATGGTCCATCTCAGAACTCACCAATACCTTCTTAATGATAAGTTTTAGTGATTCTAGTACCATCTCCCATTTCATGAAATCACAAACTCGTTTAAAAACCATCCATGTCGCTATTAAATTATTATTAATTATTATAATAGAGTGTTTCAATTATTAGAAACTTGTTAGAATGAATATTGTTTATAAGAAAAAGTAACCAGCTGGTGCAACAATCTTGAAGACGCAAGGTATAGAGGAAAAATCAGGAAAAATATCTTCATTGAAGTTCTTAAATTCAAATAAGCATAATTAACTCTAATTGCAGGGTAAGGAATAAATAGGTTCTACAACTGACCCGGCCACCCACCACAACAACCCCATTACCAATCCAATGACGTAGGACTGGGTTGCAAAACAAATGAAAAATTTCCCTAACAATTTTATAGCATTACAACCAGTTTTTCCAATCACAACCACCAAATAAATATCTTTATCACAGCACTCGTTAACAATACGCCAGAAAACGCCACGGTACCCCAAAAGCACCTGAAGTTGGACCCTCGCCATATTTTACATTCTATCTTCTCTCCTCCTTGGAGCACACGTGATGATTTCGTCAACTCTGAGAATCATCTCAGCGGCCTCTGTTGAAGATAGCAATATAGCTTGCTTTACTTTGAACGCTTCACATATCCCCCTTTCAGCCATGTCTCCAACCTTCCAGAAATACAAAACACAGGTCAAATAGACCAGCAAAATAGAAAGGGAACATAGGATACTATTCTAAAAGACTACGACTATACATAAACCATAGTAAAATCCTGCTCTTACTAAACTTTAATAAATTTCGATAAGGTACACCGATACAAATAATCAGCATATGACCAGTGAATGGGGCAATAATTATAAAATATAGGCTACCTAAATAAATAAAGATAACAATAAAACATTACAAATCAAATGAAAGAACTCTATAAAGATATTCTGCAAGAGTGCACCTCATAAAACCAACCCAAGAGTAAACGGAAACATGGCAATATCATACATCATGATAGCAATTAAAAAATGATGCTGACTCAACAAATTCCCTCAACCCTTGGTTTCAATACTTACAGAACCAGAAATGACATCGATTCCTGCAGTACAGCCCTTATTTTGATGCTCTGCACGGAGCTGAGAAATCAACTCGGCACTGTCCAAACCAGCATTATCAGCAATAATTGTTGGGATAGCCAAAAGTGCTCGGGAGAATGCCTCAATAGCAAGAGACTTCTTTCCTGGAGTTTTCTTAGCCAATGCATCCACTTCCCTTGCCATCACCATCTCAGGCCACCCACCTCCAAGCAACACTCTGCTATCATTTACAGTCTGTGATAGGACACACAAGGCATCATGCAATGACCTCTCAGCCTCATCAAGAACATGGTGGCTGCCACAAAGTAGGTATATCAGACTCAAAGTGCACATACAAACAACATCTGTTTGAGTTTTTTGAGAAAAAAAAAAGTCTATTCATACATAGAAAACACTCCTAAGCATGTCCAGCTCACAATGCACTAACTATGTTAAAGAACACAAGAAAGAAATTTTTAACAAGAGAATAAAAAGTACCTAGCACCTCTCAGAACTATTGTACATGCCTGTCCCATGGCAACACCAGAGAAATGAATCAGTTTATCCTCACCAATCATAATCTCCTCAATAAGATCACAATGCCCAAGCTTAACAGACTCAGGATTGTCAAAGGTTGATGCAATTTCACCACCAGTTACCAGAGCCAGACGCTCAATACCATCAAAATCAGCATGCTCAATAGCCAATATCCCCGCATCAGCAAAGAGCTCCTCCGGAAAATTGTAAATCAGCTGCCTGTTAACAAAACAATTGATACCATGACCAATTATCTTCTGCACCTTTTCTCTCATTTTCTCTTTCTCAGCGGTTTCAATCTGAGCAACTCTAGCCATAGAATCAACCCGAACACGTGCACCATATATCTTCACTTTGTCCGTATCCATGGCAGTGTTTGCCACCAGTATCTTCGCATTCTCTATCCGTTTGGGTTGCCCAATACCGATTTTCTTGTCAAGAATGAATCTGACAAAATATGAATCAAGGTTAAGATAGCTTAACTTTTAACCAGAGAAATGCAAGGATAAACAATGCTTAGACAAAAAAAAAAGACAACAACAAGATTAATAGTACAAAATCATTAATTACACAGGAAGTTGCAGAAACTGATCATCATCCTTTTTATAAGTATGACTGTATATAAGTTACTTGGAAACAGCATTTGCAACTCAATATAATAAAGATACACCAGAATTCAGCAAAGAGTTGAACAATTCTTATTTTGCAAATTGCAAAATAGTTAAACTTTTCAGAAATATTACCCTTCATCTAAGAATGAATCCTTTAGTGAGCCTCCAGGTTTCTTTATAATCTGGATAGATTCTAAATTAGTGCTTCCCTGCATTTTAAAGATATCATTAAAATGATAGATACAAGAAAATGAAAGCATGACACGACATGGTTAACTAAATCAAAAAATCACTCAAACTAATAAAAACTATTTTAAGCATAAAACATCTGTTTGCATAAATTGCACAGTAAAATCATTAATAACCATATTACAAAATTAACAAGTGCACCAAAGGCCACTCCTTATTTTTAAGACCATCTATTAAAGGGAAAAACCACTGTTCCAAATGTAAAGCAGCCATAACCAGCCAGAAAACACCAAGATCAACAAACTATTTCTGATGTCTTTACAAAGTATTCCAAACTCGCTATTATGAAATCATACTAAAACTTACAGTTCATCGTTAGTTATGTATAGGAATAAATTTGAATAGCCAGATTCAAACTGAAAGAAATTATTATAACATACTATATACAAGTTATGTGTAACTTCCTAATAACATACTTCAAGCAAGTTTTCAGTCAAGTATGTGGAGAAGTACATAGATTAAGTTTGAATCTGGTGTATCAAGAAAAAAGTTCTTTTCAACAATTGTGTAAGAGAAAATTTGGCTAACAGCAAAGGCACTATTTATTATATCCACTATAATTGAAAACCGCTACTCAGTAGGATAGGCAAAATTTACGTTTAGTCTCATAACAGCATCCACAGCTAATTTTGCAAAATGCTCCTTGTCCTGTGAGAGAATCTTGGAGCTCAGGGTGGTCATTGCAATGTTCAATAAATCTGACCTGAATTTCTCTGCACAATCCAATATATTAATGTATCAATATATTAGATAAGAAGCCACAAGAATGCATACACACTTGGCCCTAGCCCTGCTAAGATGAGGATAATAATAACAATACAATAAAAGGCTACAGAGACAATGATAAACCCTGAAAAAAAAAGTCTTATTAAAAGGGGAGAGAAACAACACCAGAATCAGCTTTGTTGTCCACAACCTTCTCTAACAAGGTATTTCGGGCACACTCTGCAGCCATTCGGAAACCTAAAAATCATGGGGAAAAAAAATTATAAATGGGGACGCATTGGAAGCAAGAAAGGAAATAAAAGATTGAGAATGGATATTATCATTGACTACTTCAACTACTACCTCTAGACCACAACCATCAACAAATTGATTCTTCCTTTAATTAAAAAACAAGACTTAATTTTTAACAAAAGGTAGAATTTACATTAATTTGCTTAATATCAAGCTACAAAGGAACATTCAAGATGTTGGACACCCAAGAAGGACATGCTATACGAAATACAAATTAAAAATGTATGATGCACAATAGATGTTGCTTTCTTATATCCAATATACTACTTATTGGGTAAATTGCCTCATACTCATGGTGTGAATCAATGAAGTTGCCAGTAGAAAATTCATTAAAAACAACAAAACTTTCATGATAAGAGAGGTTTGACCGTAGTAGAACAAAAAAGAATTGAACCTGATATTATTGTCATTGGATGAATCTTGGATGCCACCAGCTTTTCTGCCTCCCTTAAAAGTTCACCAGCCAGAACAACAACAGAGGTAGTTCCATCCCCAACTTCATCATCTTGTACTTTTGATATGTCTAACTTACATTAAGGATGGTTATCTTAAGATTTGAATATGAAAAAAAAAATCACATCAATGCAAGGGTGACCAATACAAAAGCCTCCCACCAAGTGGTGTCTGGAATGGGCATACACACAACCCTATACCCACCCACACCTTCCAAACTAGAGACTTTGCTTCCAAGACTTGAACCTGTGACTATAAGTCACAAGGAAGCAACTTGATCAATGAGCCATCACTCGGACTACTTGGATGGGTATCAAGCAAGTAACATATTGCTTCCCACCTCAGTGATAAAATGTAGCATATAGCATCACCACTAGTTAAAATTATTCAAAAATTTATTCCATATTGAAGATTGATGATAATGTAACATTTATCTAAAAGATGCTGAAGCATTTAATTGCAAAATTCACATCCTAAACAACGAGTTAGGACAACTTCATCACATAATAAAATACTGCTGGGATTTGAGAAGTCAGAGTAAGCCAGCTTTCACATCAAACCTAAATGTTGCCTTGGCAGGCTAGCCAAAACAGAGGAATGGAACAAGGCTATTCATAGGAAAGCTGTGAATGTAATTTTTAAGTATTTTACATTAGTTAAAACAGATAGATATCAATTTGTTTTAGGTTGGTTAAGGCCTTCCATGGAAGAAGGGGTTTCTCATGCACGTTAGAAAATTCAAAATCTATACTTCTCACTGTGTAAACATTGTGTTGTGCGTTTTCCATGGATAAAAACTATTCATTTAGTAAATTTCAAACCCTTGAGCAACTTGAACAGGCATTTCACAGTGGCGCTCTCCAAAATCCAAAATTCTTTAAGATGCTTTCACCACAACAATAAAAATTGAAAAGGATACCCACAAGGACTTTAGCAGCTGGGTTATCAATATGGAGGGACTTCAAGATTGTAGCACCATCATTAGTGACAGTAACTTCACGTCCTCTACCTGTTGACTGCAAAATTTTGTCCTGCAGTTATCACATCCAAGATATATGAATTGGTTAGTAGAAAATAAAACATTTATCACCACCACAAACAAAAATTAGTGAAGAATATATTTTACCATTCCCTTTGGCCCTAAGGTTGTCTTCACCAAGTCGGCAATAGCCATGGCTCCAACAAAAGAAGCCTTCACAAGAACAAATCATACAACACACATAATTAGAGTTAACCAACTCTTCAAACTAATAAAAAATACTAATAATAATAATGCATAGTAATATTTGCTGATACAGATCATGTGTAGATATTATTCTAACGAAACCAAAGCAAAAACATAAGATCATAACATGCTCACCATTCTGGCCCGCTCTCCTTTTTCTTCACTGGCTTCATCTTTAAAAATTCTATCAATCTATAGCATGCACAACAACAAAAAATCGTCAAATGAAGAAAAAGAAGTAAGAAAATAAAAACAACAAAATTAGTAGAGCAAGTAACTTACCGCCATTACAGGAATTCAAATGCAATCACCTGAATAGAGAAACTTATCAATCACAGGAAAAAAAAAAACAGTATTTACATTCTATTAAGGGTCAAGCCAACTGAAAAAGAGTAATAACAAAATCACGTAAAAAAATACACCCTGAGAAGGCACTGCCCTATGTATATATAGGGCTTGATTACATTGTTTGTTCCTTTTACATTTCTCAATAAACCAACCTCTCATAATATGCATCACTCGTTTTAACACTTAGCAAACAATGAATATAGTAATTTTTCCTCAATCATTATCTACCATCAAGCTACTAAAATAACACAGATCTACAAAGAGAACAGTAAAAAAATCTAAATAAAATAATAAATAAATAATTCACGACGCCCAAAGTCTACAGAAGAAAACCTAAATCCTTTGTGGCAGGTTCTAGGCTACCCACTGCAAATGCAATTCTTACTTCTATCAACTAAGTCATTCTTAAATCTTAGTAAAATCCAGGTGTAGTTATTCATCCACACCGTCCTATCAACAATTTAAATAATCAGGGCTCGGACAAGAGAAAGCAGCATGGATTTATCATGCGAAGGTGATAAAAGGAGGGAGAAAAAAACAACGCGGTTTGAAATGGTACAAGTTAAGAAGCCGATGCAGAGCACAAAAGAAAGGAACTTGAGGACGGAGAGATGAACGAGAATCAAAATCCATGAAGTGGGAGAACACTTACCGAGAGCGCGAGCGACACTAAGTAGGGTTGGCGAAGCGAGTGAAAGAGTTGAAACGCGAAGCGAGTGAGAGAGTTGGAACGCGAAATGAGAACAGAAGGGTTTTGATTTGGTCCCAATATGGGTTTATACTTCACAAGCCAAGCTTCTTTAAAACAATTTATCTACAAATATATACTTGCATAATACGAAAAATCAGGGCTGTGAAAATGCGGCCCGGCCCAGCTTATCCACATAAAAAATATTAATCATTTTATTATATTTTAAAATAAATCATAATTTTTAATCTAATATAATCTTATATTACATTAATAAACCAATTTTATCTAATTTAAAATTTAAAAAATATTAATATATTTATACTAAAATAATTAATTAAAAAGTTAAATGAAAAATATATTTTTAAAATTTAAATTATATTAATAAAATTAAATTTTATTTAAATATAATAATGTAATATATATATATATATATATTATAAAATAATAATTCATCTAATCTCTAAAATAATATTAATCTTAGTTCTTGAAATAAATAATTGTTCTAGATTTATTCATATTTTTATTCATAAAATAAGTTAATTTTTTAATAAATTAATTTATAATATATATATATATATATATTAATAAAATAATATCATTTATATTTTTATTTAAAAAAAAATTATTATTTTATAGGATAAATTAATTCATTAACTTACAAGTTAATCTAATTTAAATCTAAATAAATCATGATTTAAATGGATAGGTCAAAACATAACTGATTTAATTTAGATGACAAATTATTTTTTAGTTTAACATATTTATCATATATCTTCATAGATCAACTTATAAATTAAGTATTTGACAAATTTATAAAAGAAATAACCAAACAAAATAAATATGATATCAAAATATTTGCTAATTCATTGTAAATCTTTCCACATCCTATAAACTTTAAGGAATTATGTATACTTGTTTTATTAAGTTGAATGATTTAGATATTCAAGTTTTTATTAATTTATAGTAAAAATAATTCTTATTGAAGATAATTGTATTAAAAATTTCAACTTTTATTATATATATATAGAGAGAGAGATAGATATATAGATATATATTATCGTATAATTTTAAATATAATAAGTAAAAAAAAAAAACTTGCTACAAAATATATATTTCAAAATAGAAGTAATTTTTCATGAGGAAAATGTTGAACAAAATAATAAATAAATAAATCACTATTTAAAATTTCCTTAAAAAATCAAAAGAGTAATTATTAGTTTTAATACAAAATTAAATCAAATATGAATAAACCAATATAGCATGTGTTATTTTCGAAAATTTTCAATGCCATTTGAAACTTAGCGATGCAACGAACAGGAACAGTACCGAGACAATCGGTAATAATGCGAGTTATGAAAAACATTTATGGAGGTCCAGAAAGTAACGGCCCTTCTTTTATCGACCTTGGATAAGCCTCATTCCCTATTAAATTTTGGACTTTGCCATTTGATATACATTGTATATTCTTTTAAGTATTTATCTAAAATGATAATATTATTTTTAATATAAATATATGTTTTGAAAAGCTTATTTCACATTCTGTTTTTCAGAACATGTTTTCAAATTATATTATTCAAAAATATATTTTAGAATATTTTTAGAATATATATTTCAAAAAACATAATTGAAAATATATTTTAGATTATATTTTTTATAACGTATTTTTAGGTTTATTTTTTAAAAATATATTCCGGATTTTACAATCCAAAATTTATTTTCAAATATATTTTCCAATTGTATTTTAAATTTAACAATATATAATATTTTTTTCTTACGATATTTTTGAATATACAATATATTATATCATTTAAAACATAAAACACCAACTCGTTAAGAGTAACGATTAAAAATATAATCAAATAACAATGAATATAAATAATTATATAATTATTATAGGAGAAACTTATTTTATTTGTTTTTGGGTATTACTTTGTCAATTATTATGGCTGGTGCGTTAATATGTTGAAAATTATTGAGGAATGGACATTGCATGTGATTGATATTCTGGATGGTCATAGAGTTTGCCTGGTCCATGTTGATTCACAGATATTAATGATTATAATAATTTTTTAATCAATTTCAAACTACTCTACCATTTAGAATAATTTCAATCAAGTATTTAAAAAGAAATGTTTTATTTTATTTTTCTATAATGATGAAAACATCTTAAATACACAATAAATGTTATCCCATTTAGGAAGTAAAACACAATTTTAATAAGTATTATGAGGAAAAAATATATAAAATTAAAAAAACCACGATACCAAAATCTCCTTCTCAAAACCTAATCCCCTAAAACAAAAATTGTAGAATCAATTATGCATGTAACATTCGTTCATATATCGGAATCATGGAAATCAAATATTAATGTCGTTAAACAATGTTTAATATAAATAAATAAAAAATTTATTTAAACTGTTTTTTTAAGTAAAAGAGAAAAATAAAAGAATTAATTTAAAGAAAAAGTAATTTATATATTTAAAAAATTATAAAATATTATAAAGAAAAAAATGAATATATTTTAAGAACGAAAACAGAAAATAAAATAATATTTTTAAAATATTATTTCACAAGTTACTAATAAACTAGATTATTCCATAAAAAAATATAAAAAAATATTATAATGATCACATATTTAGGATTTGTTTTCTTAATATTTTTAAAAAAAGTTTTAAATTTTTTAAAAATTATAAAACTTATCTGATAATTATTTTATTAAAATAGATCTTAAAAACGTTTTTTTAATTAATAAAAAATATTTTATTGATGAAAATCATCATTTTTATAAATAATTATATTAAACTATTTATTTTTATCTCACACTATTTTTTAATTTTCGTTATTCTTATTTGTGATTATCTATATAATTTATCTAAAATAATTAAAAAACAACTTATTTGGAAAACATATTTTAAATTTCATTTTAAAATATTTTAAAATTTTGAAAAGCAAAATAAAATAAAACATGTATTTATGTACCATAAAAAATTACAACAGTCTTTTCTATTATTAACAATATTTTACGGTAAAAGTTTTATAAAGAAGAAAATAATATATATACATATACTCTATTTTTATAAACTTATATTTTTTTAAACTTTTTCTCCTGAAAATTATTTTTCAAGGGATTGATATTAAAATTTGTATCTTATAAATTTATTATTATTATTATTATATATTAGATTTTTAATTATAATAAATTAATTTATATATATATATATATATATATATATATACTTTACCAAAATTTATTAAAATTACTTTATTTATTTAATTATCTTGTTATACATTATCTCATTGATGATCTTTCATATGTTATTATTAAAATTATTTTATTTATTTAATTATTTTGTTACAAACTATCTTGATTATCTTTCATGCTATTATTTTATATGATATCTTATATAACCTATTATCTTTTTGGTTATCAATTATTATGTTTTAGGCCATTATAATATTTTGAGTCTTGTATAGAGTGACTCAATCATAAAGTAAACTTTATTTTATCACTTATTCTTAAATATATATATTATTATATTGTCTAAAAGTTGACTTGAACTTTAGGAGGTCTTTTGCAGGCTTTACTCTTTTGAAAGAAAGTTATTTTCAACTTTCTCTAAATCGTAGTTGAGATCTGATTCACTGATCTCCTCACACCCTTCTGCCAACCTCTATCAATCCGATAAGAACATTTGGTGCTTAACGTAGAACATGGTAAAATGATCATCGCAATCTCTTCCATGACATTAACTTAACTCGGAGTTAAATGATATCAAATTCAAAGAGTGATATGATCCTGAGAAGATAAAAGGTCTGCAAGAGCATAACAACACTAAAATCAAGCAAATTCAACAAAAATAAATAAATAAATTTGTAATTAGTTCGAAAACAACATCAAGTTAAGTTTCAACCTTTACAAAACAAATTAAAGGTTCTCATTATACGATCTCGATCAAGCAGGTTGAAATAATTCATATTACACATTAGCAGAGAGAATTTGAGTTTGGTTTGCAGCTAGAAACATGCATGAGGCCACATTTATAGAATTGGAAAGTGTGAAACAAGGCGAGGGTGAATCGTTTTCAGTTTCATGGAGCGAGCTGCAAAGGTAACAAATTTCTTACCAAATTTGAACTCGATTGTTGCCCTACATGCAATACAAGTTATTCTATAGTTAGGGCCTTGTTTCGCTTTTCCACAAGGATCCCTTAACAAGTTTCGTGCTCAAGCAACTAATTATATCTGCATG